CGTCAGAATTTCGTCTGACGAAACCATGACGAAACCATTTCGTCATTGCAAAAATAATTTCGTCACCCATCATTAATTTGGTCACGAATTCCAATCGTTATTCACAGATTTCACTTATCGGGGGGGGGGGTGAATCACAAGTTAAATACTCTAATTTCTTTAACCTGGAACTTCGAAGTTTTATACTATAGGAGTGAATCACAAGTCAAATACTCTGATTTCTTTGACTTAGAACTTTGAACTCCACCGAGTTATCGAACTCACTGAGCTTAGCTGTTTATTTTCAAGGCGAATAAGCACCTCTTTTATAGTTTTTACATTGTTACTCTATACAATATAAATTATCAACTAAGGCTATAATTCTATGGAAGCTTCGAAAAGCGCGAAAGCTACTAAAGCTACTAAAGTGAATAAATTGACTAAATCCACTTAATCCGCTAAATCCGCTAAATTCACTAAAGCTACTAAAGTGAATTTTACCATTACGGTAAGGATTTGCTTTCAAGTACTACGTAACTAGATTTTTCTAATAAAGGAAAACAATTCGATAATATATACTGTATAAAATAAAAATAAAATAGAATAGAATAACTATATAAAAAAATAATATAGTGGAACCATCGCCGCAGAGCCCGTCACAACGTACGTACGTACATATCAGATATGTAACTACCACTAGTAGCACCGACCGTTGGCCACACCATGGTGATTTGTAATTTTCTTTTTAAAAAACGCATGATTTTCACGTTACACTATATTGTAAACTAATCTGCATAACGATAAATAGAACAAATCAGCCCATACCGATACGGTACTATTGGTACGTACGTACTTGCTTAATTTCAGTCAGATGCCTGAAGTAACAACTTTGGATCTAGGCATTGATGCAAGCTGCATACGTATTAGCCTTGTACTACAACTGCGTAATACAATACCAAATATCTTGTCAATTTAAAATTAGGTTTCTATCAAATCTGATTGAGTTCTGTAATGGTCACAATGTTTCAAAAAAAAGTAATCGTTCTTCTTTCATTGATCTTTCTCATAACTTATGTACATTCCTTCGGATTTGTAGGTAATAATATTATTGAGGAATTATATTATCGTCTTTAAAACAAGATTTATTTTTAGATTTTTTTGAATTTAGGGCATCAAATTGCAGCAGCAATAGGACAACGATTTCTTTCGCCAAAAGCTTTTAGGAATGTCTTTGAATTACTTCCAAAAGGAGCACATGGAAATTTATCATAGTATAATAATTTAATACATTATTTTGTTATTAATATTGATAATCAATTACAACATCTTTCTCATTAATTACAAAAGTATTGCAGCATGGGCTGACCAAATTAAACATAAACCAGAGTACAGATTTACATCTTCAATGCACTATATATCACCACCAAACGATTATCCACCATCCAATTGTTATTTTAGTTGGACTCCAGGAAAATATGATTTAATTAATGCAATTCATAATTATTCAAATATACTTGATCCAAAATCTGATCATGAACATTGGCTAAGAGCTGAAGCACTAAATTTTGTGGTTCATTTCATTGGAGATTTACATCAACCTTTGCACAGTAAGTTATATATATCTTTCTATATTAATTTATATACCTTTCTATATTAATTTATATATTCATTTTCATAACCTTTTTTTTATCTAAAGTTACAGCTAGAGATAGAGGTGGAAATGGTTCACCGGGTATATTTATATTTATTTTTATTTATATATTCTCGTCATGATATATCGTAGTATTGATTTAATCTATATGTCTTTTCTGAAAAAGCTCTATTTGAAGGACATCATACTAATTTACACTCTATATGGGACACAACTTTACTCTATGTACGTATATATGCCAACAAAAGTTTAGGGATTTCACACAATAATCTTGGATCATGAATCATTGGTTTTTCATGATTATATCCATCTTTTTAATATATTGTATGAATTTCCCAAACTTCCCTGCTGTATAATAAGATATTTTTGAGAGATTCGAATCAATTGATTAATTTGAAATTCGAATCTAATATGTGTAAAATAATTTTATTGCATTTATTCAATAATCTTCAATTTTTGATTTTCTAATAACAGAAACGAATTCGAGAATTTAATGCAAATTCTAATTTTGACTATAATTTAACCGAGGTTGATAATCAATTTAACTCTTCTGAACCCTTATTCGGTGGCCCGTTTTATGATTTATATTTAAATTATATACTTCATTTAATGAAAACAACTTGGCGTGGTGAACTTAGATCATGGACATTTTGTCAAGATTTTGAACTTGCACCTCAATCTTGTGATCCTAACCAATTCCATTTCACCTCTGAAAACGTATCTTCTGAACATTTTACGGTCTTATCAATGGATCAAAATCTTTCACAGAGTTTAGCCTGCCCAGAATTTTGGGCTATACCCATAAATGAATTAAATTGTAGAGTAGTTTATAATGGGTATGAATCTGGATTAGATTTGAGTAACGGTGCTTATTATGATAGAATCGTTAATGGCAAAGTTATGGAGAAATTATTGGCTGTTGCTGGAATTAGAATTGCAGCTGTGTTGAATACTATTCTTGGATAAATAAAAATCATTTAAATAGGCTTTGTCTTGAAAATCATTACTGTTAATTTCTTAGCAATGTTGCAGAAAATTACATTGGCTAAAAAGATTTTATCAAAAATCTTTGCCAGAAGAGTTAGTATATAATTCAAATTTAATGTACAATATTAACTATCTTTTTTATATTTACTCCTTCGTTTGAGAGTAGTTGTGAAAATTATATTCATTTGCATTACAATTGGAACATTTATATTGTGATGATTTTTAACAGATATTATAGTATCACTTGTAAATCTATATGATAACTCTATAATTAAAATTTTAAACATTAGTTATCTCTGCTACTCATTGATTTTTTACTTTGGTTAATGAACATTTTAAATTTTCTACCGATTCAGAAATCAAAAAGTTATATAATTGAGATTTCATAATTATTAACAAAGAAAATCAAAGTTTTTTGTCTTTATTACATGATATAAAACATGATTTATAAAATTCTTTTATAATACTGATAGCTTTAATAAACTAGCGACCAAAGAGTGATAAAATACTTAATATTACAAATATAAAGTGTGTTATTAGTGGGTTTCAAAGTTAAAATGCGGAAATCTAATTTTAATTGAAATTGGTTACAGATTTATTTTCAAATGAGCGCTGTATCAACATTATTTCATTTCCGATAAATTTGAAATGATAATTTTTGTCGTTGAAAAGTCTATTTATTTCATTAAATGGGGATCTCCAGACACTCCCATTTCATTTTCCGATTTTAAATGTTGAAATACAAATAAGATTTTTCAAACTCTCATTTATTTTCAAGATGTGCCGCTCATTTGTCAACTTTGAAACCCTATTCGTAGTGTTGAAGTTGATTAGATTTAGATAAACCGATTATTGGCATGTTGTAAAAGATATTTTAATTTGAATATTGCGCATTAGGGGGTGAATTCCAAAACGCATTGTCTATATTATTAAAGCTACAAGATATGAAGAAGGCCTTTGACTCAGTATCTCTAAAATCGCTAGAATTAGCAATGAAAAGGTTCAAAATTTCACAGATTATAGTAATGTTCATTCTAAATCTGTTTGAAAATAGGCAGTCCAAAATTATTACTAAATTAGGCAATCACAATGTTTTGAAATAAGTGATAGTATTGAGCAAGGGGAAGTAATCTCTGCTCTTGTCTGGAGGATCTCCTATGGCCCATTACTTTTGAGGATCTGACCTAGAAAATACTGTAATGGAAAGAATTAATTTTAATTACAGTTTAAATCAAACATCAAAAAAGAAATGAAGACAATGTAGATGATACAACCTGGCTCCTAAGAACAGATGCCAGATAGAAAGAACAATTCAGATCACAGAAGAATTTTTTAAATTCAATGATATATAGATTAATATATGTTAGCAGGTTTACAGATTTGAAATTGGACTCTAAAAATGGTCTTCAAAATGTAATTGTTTACAAAAATTTATTGGTCAAATGATGGTCAAATGATCAATATATAACTGATCATTATAAATAAACTATAGATAAGAGTAAACCTATTATATCTTAGAGATAAAATGATTTAACTTGTAAAATTATATAAAATTTGGGATCTTAAAAAGTCCAATTCTGTAAATCTACTAATATGAAAAAAATCTAAGCTAATTATATATAATTTAATAGAAAGAAAAGAAGATCAAAAGATTTTTTTGGTAATAAATGACTAATAGAAGAAAGAAAAAACAAGATTCCTCAATTTCTAGAGTTATAGCTCAACAACAGGCTGAACAAATTATTAATCAAAGCTAGAGCAAAAGAAATATATAGTCTATAGTATAGATCTTAAATTTTAAGAAGTTATCTATAATATAAGCATTATATATAGACAACATATATATAGTCTCTACATTATGCTATATATTGCAAATCTTCAGATTCAAGAAGAAAATAATTAACAATCTACAATCACATTCTGTATATTAACAAAAACAAAATAGAACTAACAAGAACTACTAGTAATAATACAATTTTACATAGAAGCATCAGCAATTGTAACTCTTTGTAGAGCTAGTTACTGGCAA